ACCAACATCTGAGGCCGTCACGGAGCAGCTGTATTTGTACTGAGATTAGATTACACACAGGTGGACCCTCATTAAATTCCAGTGAAATATATTTATGTTTGTGGTTGTAATGTGACAAAATATGGAAAAGTTCAAGGGGTATGAATACTTTTGCAAACCACTGTATATAATAAAAAAGGGACGTGAACAATGGATGGGACAAACAAAAGAAAAATGGTCAGTGGAGACTATTGTCAGTAAATAAGAAAGCAATGAACAAGAATACGGTTAAAAAAAGAATACATGTACACATCACAGCAACGCATGAGCCAAATGATTTTTTTTTTATTTTAAACATTTTGCACTTTTATTTGACTAGACTAAAAAATATGTCCATATAACAGTTTGAGGAACAATAAACCTGAATAAAAATCTCTGAGAAGTTTTTTAAGTCACAACAAAAGTATTTTTTACAGACAAAATTATTTTTCTCTACAAAGACAGCTGAGAAACATCAGCACATTACAGTACCTTACAGATAAAATGCACATTTTGGAGCAAAATATACATTTTTGTAGCATTTGCAAAAATTGAATCTGCTTTTTTTCTTTCTTTTTTTTTCATCAAGTCAGAAAAGAACAAGACTAAAATAAAGCAAGAGTGCTTTTTTGTTTATTGTTTTTTGCTGAGGCTCATGTTCAAAAAGACATTCATAACCTTCCCAATCTAACCCTGCACTGATTTCTGACAGTGTTTCTCTTTTCTTCGGAAGTCTTCTTTTTTTATTWTTTATTTTTATTTTCTGGTCACCAGTTTTTTTTTTTTCTGACCATTATACCTGGATCCTCACAAGAACTTCAAGTCCTCAGCCACGACAGGCCCTTTAAGGAAAAGCAAGKTCTGAGTCTGCCCAAAGTTCTCCAGCATGCCCTGCAAAACATGTGGGAAGAGATACAGAACAGCAGCGGGTCCAGGGCTCCGTTGATGTACCACAGTGGAAGTGACAAATACGATTTCAGAACAGTGTGGACAGAAAGGACCATGTCGGACCACACAACCACGTACACCTGCATCAGTGAGGAGGCAATATCTGGAAAACTGAACAGAAAAAAGGCCACCACGACTGCGCCTGAAACAACAATAAAAATAAAAAGTTGACATTAAAAAGGTCTTTGCAGATGTCTGCACAGTTGTCTTCAGCTTTAGACCATAACCGACTTTTCAGAGACTTTCAGCCAAATCTCACCATTTGGAATAATCACTTGGATTGACTATTTTAATGAAACAACAAAATATATTCTTCCAATAACTTACCCATAAGTTTCAGAGCTCGTTTCTCATTTAAAAGTAACTTTCCATTTTGATGGCACTGGATGTCTTGTCTTCCCTGTAGATCTCGGTCCCTTGGGCTCAAAAGACCCATGTTTCTCCTCTGACGACCATTCCTCTTTAGGTGGAGCACGATGAGCACATAGAGGGTAAAGATGGACACCAGTGGGACCTGAAGATGGACAGGAATTTTAAGTGTCCACGTTTGTTGCGGATCCGCAAATGCAATCTGTCGAATAGGTCTGATCTTACCAGAAAAAAGAACCCTGCCCTCAGAAGCAAGGCTCCTTTATAGATGTGTGAAGGAGCAGGTTCTATCATTTCACACACGGTGGATACCTTAAAGGCATCTTCATGTGTTGTTGCTGTGTAGTCCAGAATGCAGGCACTGGTCTGGTCATTGACCAGAGCAAATGGCACCGCCGAGACCAGAGAAATGATCCATACAGAAAGAAGGCACGGCAGTCGAGACTTCTTTTGAAAAGAAAAGTGAGAGAAAAAGAAATTTGCGTTAAGAATCTCTGCGCCAAACTCTTCTTTRGACAACTAATTAATGTGTTGTTGCAAACATATCTGTTCAGAACAAAAGTACACAAACTCAGCAATTCTGTGCACAGGAGTTTGTCCGAAAAAGGAAATGACACAACAGCAAAAAACAAGAATCTTGCGTGGGAGCTCTTCAGTGTGTGGATGCAATCTGTAATTTGGCAAAGAACTGCCYCCAAAATGTCACATCAAACGAAAACAGAAAACACAGCAAGGCAAAAACGGAAAAGTGACCTCGAAGACCTGTCATGAGCAAATAGCGTAGTTCTCGTGTGTAAGCACTCAACCTTTAGACTGGAGAGAGACCACATGGTGTGGCAGATTGCGGCGTAGCGTTCGTTGGTGAAGGTCACGATAACCCAGCTTGTAGTTGCGCAGTACATTTGGCGGACCATGAAGTACACCTTGCACACCGCCTGGCCAAGGCGCCATGGATAGCTCTCCCAGTAATACCGATACACAGTCACTGGAATGGTCAACAGCTGCAGAATGTCTAATGATAAAAAGATACAGGATATGGAAGTAAAAAAGAAAACAGAAAAGCTGTCATAGACAAGGCTTGATCAAATGAAATTCTGACACAGTCCAAAATAAAGCCTAGATGACAAATTCCAGAAAAGATGACATTCACAAAAAATATCATACAAAAAAGTGGCATTTCATGTGCAATTTAATGTGATCTCCAGTCTCTCTCTTCCTAATGGTAAATGTCAATCTTCCAATCACTGCTCATTGTAATAGAATGTAATGCAGGCACATACTGGGAAGAAAATCTCACTTCGACTGTGAATTATGTCACTGCTAACATTCTGCAGAGGCGAGTAATGGTGTACCTGATGTAACGAGGCTGAGCAGGTAGAAGCGAATGGCACTGACTCTCATGTGAGCATCCATAAGGAGAGTCAGTATGCTCACACCGTTGAATAAGACCTGTGAAGGATTTAGGTGAGAACTGATGATTCACAGTGCACAGTCTGCACATCATTAGACTTTTGTAGCTCAGGTCGTGCTTTACTTTTTTTTTTGATCACATTCCCTGAACTGCTAGACAATGGCATGTCTCGAGAAACATGAGTGTACGTACTCCAAACAAGAAGACGATGCTGTAGAAGATGGTCATTGAGACGGCGACTGTCAGTGGCTCACTTTTTGTAACACCAATGTCAAGCTTTGGTGTCTCACTTGGGCTGACTTTGCAACTGAAGAGGAACGGGATCTGCTCTGAGTTGTTCGTAGTGAGACTCCTATAGGTGGCAGCTGCAATGTCATGAAAAATATAATGAACAATACCTCCACTACTGATTTGGAATAACAAAATTATGTTTTCTGTACTGATGCGCTCTACTGCAAATAGATAATAATAAACATGCAGGCCATTGGCAAGTAATCCCCTAATCAAAAATAATTGCTTGTTATTATGTAGATTTTAAACAAATGCACTATAATCTATTCTTTTAGAGGCTTTGCATGAATTAATTTGCAAATGTAGTGGCTCTGCTAATAATAAAATGCAAACGGGAAGACAAGGAAGACCATCTGCTGATTTATTTACTCATGTAGAAAATAAACTGGTTTGTTTATGAAAAAGAAACAAAAGTGGGATCTGTTTTCATACATTTCAAATGGAGCACATGGTCAACACTGTGTTGATTTACAATCAAAAATTATTCAAATTTAATAAGTCCATCCTAATTTATGATCTTTCAATTTTGACCACAAAATAGAAAATGGAAAAATTGAAATCAGGAATCTGTCTGAAATGTTTATGAAAATAAATCATTTTAAATTAAAACCTTTGCTCAAAGTTTTTGCAAATTCAGACCTAATCAGGTCATTTTTTTACACAAGCTATTGAATGTATTAATATCTAAATTCTAAAAATTAATATTAGGACTGTTAACAGAAGAGAAGACATATAGGGTGTGCAGCTGCAATTATATGCATCTGTGTATCTATGCTGAACTTGAACTGAAATTACAGAAAAAAATCAAAAATTAATGTTTTTTTTCTTATAATTACACAGCAAACATAGCCTATTTGAATGTATTTAAGGCATAATGAATGAACTCACCTGTTTTGGAGAAGACGCAGGATGAATACCAGCAGTTATTCTCACAAGCAAAAAATAAAAATAAATTAAAAAAATCGAGCTTTGGTTTTCTCTCTCCATAAATCAGTGGTCTCTTACGCCCTCTCTGATTCTAGTCACCTCCCTCCCCTCTCMCACAGACACACTGTTAGTCATAACAGTGGCTGGTAATATCTTGTGTAAATCAGTGCAGCAGGTAATTATGTGTATGTGTGTTGCACTTATAAAATTATTCATTCCTTCAGGAAGTCGGGATGGATACAAAAAGAATTTCAAGGCCCTAAGTTCTGTAAAGACCATCATCAAGAAATGGATGGACTATGGGACATATACACAAATAACTGGTCRTCATTAAACTGATTGATCGTGCAAGGAGAAAAGTGAGAAAGACCACTGAGATGAYTGTGACCACTCTAAAGGAGTTAAGCTTGTGAGATGAGAGAAACTGTGCAAATGTTGCTCTGATTTTTGCTTCTGCCTTTTATCTGAATAAATTAGGACATTCGTTTATATACAGTTGGTATTTATATGTGTGTGTCTAATTTAACAAATGCTTCAATCCAAAAAATAAGCACGAGTTATTTATTGGTTAATTGCAACTGAACTGGGAAACTTCAATAGAACCAACTTCTATATTAGTAAAGGCCTTCATTATGTCACAATACCCATGACACAATCTTTCAAAAGGTCAAGTTTCTATGCCCCTTTACACCGTTCACAAATATCCGCAGTGTGCATGTAATAACATTCAGTAAGAAAGAATCTCCACCTGTTGTCAATCAGTGCTGCTGTCTCAGTTACCATGGTAACTAAGCTGTGCCTGTGCATCAGCATCATCTGTTGCATGGAGGGGCTTTTAGAGGCAGAACAAATGCATACAGAGGAGGTGGGAAATTTATAGGTATTTTTGGTGTAATCCAAACTACATGCATCATTCTTTTTTATATATACACTGCATTTAAGCTTACCAAATTTTTCTTTGAGTATTTCAATGGAGATCGAATTGATAAATAAGACAAGGAATCTTAATGGCCTGTTAGCGTATGTGTTGTGGATGACTCTCATTGCTAACACACCAATTTTCTGACTCAGTATCTTTAAAAACGGGTGAGTCAGCATTTTTTTCTTTGCGTGTTTGCTAAAGTGGATTAGCTGTGGATRCCTTCTTAAATTGTGTAAGCACAAAAAAGGACTCAACTGTAGTTGTGCATCCAAAAAGTATTGAGTTTCATCAAAGGAGAGTCCTTTGACTGAGGATAATAATATTGTTTGGGACAGATAAAGGGATGGGAAGTGAAATATATTCATATTTATRCAAACAGATTAAAAAATAAAAACTTTCCAATCCTGTCTTATTTCAGAAAGAACATTTATTGTTCACATACAAAAATTATATACATGTACAGAATAATTTCTTTAYGATGCTTCCTATAAATACAGTACATATTGCAATGTTTATTAAACTTTCTAAATGACAAAAAAAATACAGGTATCAAATCATCCCATCAAAAAATACAAAAGCTCTTAATCAGAGCGATGTCGCTGTTTCTTGTGTTATCCCAGCATCCTTTGCCATGGAGTAAAAAATGCCTTCCTTTTCCTGCAGATTGCTTGGAGAATCAAACTCCACAATTTTACCAGCATCCAGAACCATCACCCTGTAGAGGACAAACATCGGTTGGTGTATTAACTTACTGAGCAGCTTTTATATTYTTTCATAGCCTCTTTCTGGTCATTTTCACATCCTTGTAGAAAACATGTAAATGTTACAACACAAGAGTAAGTTGGATTTAGGTTTATAACTGTCTTCCAGTGACAGCATCATGATGCAACGYGACAAAGTTGAGCTTATTTCATTCAATTGCACAAGACTGAAAGGGAATATAATGAGGAAAAAAAATAGGATTGAGAACCACTGACTCACCTGGTGCTGTCCATGATACTGTGCAAGCGGTGGGCGATGGTGAGGACGGTGCAGTGAGAGAACTCTTCACGGATCGTATTYTGAATCAAGTCGTCCGTCTCCAGGTCTACAGCTGCYGTGGCCTCGTCCAGGATCAGGATGCGTGATTTTCTCAGCAGCGCTCGAGCCAGACACAGCAGCTGCCTCTGCCCRACGCTGTGGGACAACAGTGACTTTTGTTAAAACCCCGTTGAAATGAAAACAAACACGAGGACACTCGATTGGACTGCTTAATCTGCCCCACCTGAGGTTCTCTCCCCCCTCTGCAACTTCATGTTGTAAACCTTCCTCCAGCCCTGCCACGTAGGTCTTCAGATGTGAGAGCTCGAGCACTTTCCAAATCTCCTCATCACTGAATTTGTCAAAMGGGTCCAGGTTCATCCTCAGCGTCCCGGAGAACAAAACTGGATCCTGCACTCATGAGCGTTGGATATGTTAGGAATCACGTGAAAGTGAGAACTTGTAGTTCTGTTTGTCGTTCGTGTGTACCTGAGGTATGATCGTGATCCTGTTTCTCAGATCATGCAGCCCAATTGAGGCGATGTCTATACCGTCGATGAGTATACGTCCTTCAGCTGCTTCAATGATTCGAAACAAACAGTTGGTCAGGCTCGATTTGCCAGCTCCTGTGCGACCCACTATACCAATCTGAAAGCAGCGAGAGAAAACACAGATAATGTGAAACATAAAGGTTGAATAAAAGCTTTCATAAAYCATCAGTTTGTGAATGTACACAGCTCCCAAATACATTGAGAAATACAATCATTTGAAGCCTTTATACCAATTTATCACTTTTAGGTTTTGAAAGCTTWTTCACCTAATGCAATTGCACAAGGGTTATAATCATCTCGGCTCTATTTTCAACACTTCCAATAGATAATATCCTTGCATCTCTGTGGGTTTTTAGGTAACGCTTTCTTTTACGGTACTCTTATTACCATGTAATTACGAGGTAATAATTTGTAATTAATGTAATTACTACCTTATTACCATGTAATTACKTAGTAATTACGGTACAAACGAAAAACTACTGTTAGTAAAACTACCTTTATTGGGTAACTACAATCAAATTACTATTCAATAGTAACTAACACTATATTTATAAACCAAAAGAATACAACTAAATTTTGGGGTTAGTGGTTAATTGTAATAAAATACAACTTTAAAACTGTCCAAATTACGTCCTGATGCATCTCAGTAATCCAGGTAAAAAATCTAAAGGAAAAAAAATTGTATAGGTCCTCTGGACGGGTTCTTCTTTAATGAAACGTTTCGTCTCTCTTCCAAGAGACTTCTTCAGTCTGAGAGTTTTAGGCAAAATTCAGGCTTTTAAGTCCTGCCTCCAGGTGACTGATACTCACATCACATGGCTATGGTTCACAGGTGACTCATACTCGCATCACATACAATTTTTTTTCCTTTTGTCCAAATTACCTACTACTTATTTAGGTGTTAGATAGTGAATTGTAATACATTACCAGGTAAGTGCTACATTACTGCAGACAATTAATTATATTGTAAAATTGTACCATAATTACCACGTAATTACATGGTAATACGGTAGTAATTACATTTAATTACATTCTTTGTTACCTTGTAATTACATGGTAATAAGGGTATCGTAAAAGAAAGTGTTACCGGTTTTTATTTGTTTTTGTGCACTGCAGTTTGGGTGAATGGATAACATTAAACCCAATCTGTCAAAAGCAACTTGAGATTCATAAGCAGGAAATCTAGGGAGAAATAAATAAAGTGTGTTCAGTTCAGCTGCAGAAACAATCAACTGAGGCTGGATTTGAGTAAAAGGAAAATAAACAATTCACTGCAGGATTTAAAGGAAAGTATAAAAGCTTTATATGTACTGTATTTTTTTATATGTAGTTAGGTTCATAATCATTAGGAAGATATGATGCCAGCTGTCCTTATTTTTTTAATCATCTACCAATCCATACATTTTCCTTTCAGGGTCCCAGAGGGAGCTGGTGCTTATTTCCAGCAGTCATTGTGTGAGAGACAGACAGGTCGCAAATCCATCCCAGGGCCACACAGCAAAAAACGAGATAAACAACCATTCACACTGTGTATGCTTTCCACACAGAATTTTTTCCAGACAAAAGCATGCACACACAAACCTTTTCAGTGCTGCTGATGTCGCAAGTGATTCCTTTCAGAACCAGGTCCAGTTCGGGTCTGTAACGGACCTTGTAGTCTATAAACTGTAGCCTTCCTGCCTCCGGCCAATTTTCTGGAGGCCGGCGTTCAGCCACCCACTCAGCCTGTTGAAGAAAGATTGGATAAGAGGTTTAATGATGCTGCTTTCAAATTCAGCACTTGTGTCTCTGCCTGAATGAAGTGCCAGAATCTACTTCCTGTGATGATTAATTGGGAACTAAAAGTGACAGGAATGTTTCGTAAAGTAACAAAGTGAATGTGGTACCACCTCAGGCGGCTGTAAAAATGCTCACACATTTTTGTGCAAAAACTCAAACACTTCTTTTGCAGCATTCACATCTGCATATGACTGGAGTTCTCATAATATTATGACTTTAATCTCATAATTACTAAGAAATTAGAAGAATTAAATAGTCAGTTTTACAAATAAAGAAATACCTAATCAACTCATCAGCATCATATTATATTTTATATCACATTATATGGTAAACTCAAGCTGTATGATTTTGCAACTAATGTTTGCATTGATGAATTTAGTCATTACATAATGTGGATGGAAGTACATTAAACTAACAGTGACCCAAAAGTAATCATGGATTAAGCTACTTCATAAACACAGTGACATACATTGGAGGCTGTACACTGCAGGTCCGAGCCGACCCAGAAAAAGAAAAAAGAAACATCATGTAGGCTAATTTTATTAATTTTTCCCCGTAATATTATGACTTTCTTCTCGTAATAAAAAATAAAATAAAATTTTGTAGTGTGGCCCTAATATTCTGTATAGCATACAGTATGTGTCGCCCAAAGTTCAGTAAAGGTTGGAGCATAACGTAAAATATAAACAAAAACAGAAGGAAATGATTTGCACATCTCAAAAGCCAATATATTATTTTGTTCTCAACGGGTTTGGGGTTGTATGTACTGCTGATGTAAAAACAGAGTGCAGCCGTATTAWTAGCAACATACCTCATTTTCAATCACAGAGTATTCATTCACTCGCTCCACGGCCACGATGTTGGTCTCCAGCTCTGAGGTCATCCTCACCAGCCAGTTTAGGGTCTGAGTTACCTGGAAAGCCATGACAGAAAAGGAGCTTTTAAGTGTTTAGCAAATGCCTTATCAATGTATTAATGCAAAAAATAAACATGAGTTTTTATTTATTTATTTATTGTTAAATACATTTTTGATGCCCTTCATTTGTGTTTGATTTGATGACAGAGCAAGTAGATGACTTACATTAAGAGCATATGATATTGATAGACCAACTAAGCCGCTGTCGATGGAGTGCCTGGAAATGACAGCAAACAGAGCTGCAAAAAATACCACAAGATTTCCCAGAAACTCCAAACGGATAGCCAACCATCTGTTGAGCAAACAAACAGCGCACAGAAATACACAAACATATGAGTTACCAATATGTTCTCGTTAATCTGGAAAACATGTTAGAATATAATATCAGAGGGACATAAACCCACCTGTTGGACACAATCCACGGATAGACACTTTTGAGGTTTTCGTCGATCGTTATGTAGTTGTGTTTAAGAAACCTTTCTTGGTGCTTGTAAGCTCTGATCACAGATAAACCAGACACCGTCTCACCAAAGTGAGAGTAGATCGGAGAACGAGACACGGAGTCCAGACGGCGCAGCTGTCGTGAGGTGGCGACGTAGAATCGCTGGATGTAGAAAGAAAGAAGAAGAAAAGGAACAAAGTTGCTTTGAAATCCCTTTAAACTGGAACAAACAAACTGCCTTTGATCCAACTTGGCTGGTGAAGGGTTATTATAAATGTGGCCCATCACATTGAAACGAGGATTAAGTCTAAAAGTAGTAAATGGTGAAGTAGGCAAATATAGTGTTTTGATTAAAACGTGCAAAAATTGCATTTTGTTAAAACAATGAATAAATGCATTATATCATTTGAATGAACTGTCTGAAATATAAATCATAAAACAAAAATTTTGAAGCACTTTTTTGAGGAGTAGCAACAAAAAAACTGATTTTGAGGAAAAATTCCTTAAAACTTTGAGATTTTCCATGTGAGCTAGCAAAGTTTTGTTTCTTTTCAGCAGGGAAATCTCAATATTCAAATATAATTTGAGGTTTCCTCTTTATTAGGACATCCAAAATTCCTCAWTAAAATTACATAAAAATAGGATTCAGACCAAATATTTATGTATTACCGTAACCAACAAGACAAATTAAACCATATATATGGATTTATTTAAGATATCAGAATGATCCAGGTATCAAAATGTAGCTTTTAAAGCCAGGAATCTGAAAATGTAATTAGGTCATTTCGACCAAATTTGACTTAATCCTCATTTCGACATGATGGGTCACAAATATTTGTTTTTAAGTTTCAGTGAAGCTAAAACAGAAAGAAATGTTTTTAAAAAGAAACAAATTTAATGTTCTTTATTATTATTATTATTATATGTGTTTGTTTTCTATGAAGATAATAAAAAAGTTTTTTTTCTATAAAGTTAAACTACCAAGGTTTTTAGAACACCTTCAGGACTCGATGAGGCMGTTATAAAACAAGGCTAAGCTTTTAAAACTGTTTTCTAAGATGCACACGAGGTCTGAATGATTTATGATGAACTGAGCTGAAGGGGGRAAATGTCCTTGTGGTTTAAAATCTGAAAGCACAAACACCTATTCCCCAATCCAGAGAGGACAGGGTAACTTTTGACTCTTACCCAAAATGACATGCAGGGGCCGAGGTTAAGGACCAGATAAAGGGTAAGGTAACAGCTTGGATCGAAGTTTATTTCTCTGTTAGGTGCGTGAAAAATCATTGTCTACTTCTCAGCGACAGGAGTGGATGAGATGGTGACAGGAAGAGTAGAGGTTGTTTCTGCTCACATCTAGAGGCCTTGATTTATTTGTGTTTGGTGGCAGAACCTGTTCTGCTCTTACACAACAGGTGATTTTGGTCAAAAGAAACAAGAACTGTGTGTTTGCTCTGACACTGWGTCYGATCCAGACAAAAATGATGCAGGTTGTTTTTGWTTGTTTTTAAAATCGACAACAATTTATTTGATCTTGTCTACAGTAGTAAATGATGATGATGTAGTGCAGCAATAASACASACATACCCCAGCTTTTGTTACACTTCTTACGATGCAATTTAAGCTGGCCTGTGCTTTTCAAAAATTAAAGATTACTGTCCGTTGCCGAAGATACAGCAGTGATGTTTTTGCTGTGTGTGTGTACGATATGTGTTCATTTATCTGTACTGTTAGCAAAAGAACTCATGAATCATTGAAAATATCTGTTGGGTTCCAAGTCAAAACTGGCCTACATGTTTCAAAAACTCTTACTAAAATAAAAAACTTTAACTTTTCAACAAAATGTTTTTGTCCAAGTAATCTGCAGGCAGCTACATTTTTATTTTCCATTTTACACAGAATTTCATGGTTTTCAAAAACATCCCTGTTTTTACATATTGTCCCCTTCCTGTCCAATGTTTCACATTGTTTCACTCTCCTATCCAGGTTAGCTCACCTGCACAAAGAAGTAGATCGCAGCCAGCGGAATGATGATTATGGTGAAGAAAGGCGTGGCCAGACAGATGACAAAAAGTGTCCCCAATACGCCCAGCAGACACAACAACCAGGAGCGGAAGGACTGAGGAATGGCTTCATCTATGGTAAATATGTCCTTCAGGAACAGAGAAGAGAAGTTATGGAAATGCATAACATATTGYAGTACTTTTCTGCAATATAGAATTTTGTTCAAAAAAAAAAACACCTTCGCAAAGCGGTTGACCACTCTTCCAATAGGTGTGGTGTCAAAGAAGAGCATGGGCACTCGCAGGATGTTGTTGAGCAGTTGTGAATGCAGGATTCGAGACGCATTAACTGAAGCGTTGGCTAAGAGCAGCGTGCCGAGGAACACAAAGAGACCTAAAATAAAAGCAAGGTAATACAAAGGCAAATTATATTAAAACCATCCCCGTGATTTGGTTTGTTAAAGTAGCACACAGGTCACTATTCTTTCTGTTGTCAGATGACTGGAGATGTTAAACCAGTTGTTGTTTGACTTAAAGTTCCTTTTTTTCACTGTGCAGCTGACTCCAATCTGCAGGTATTAGACCAAAGCTAATCTGCTTAAAAGCAAAATCTTTTGATTTTGTTTCTTTTTGATTTTAATTGGTATTTTCTCTTAATTAAAAAATATGTTGTTTATCACAGGCACCCGTTTAGTGCATAAACTGCCTGAAAATCCCTCAAACCATAACTAATGGATATTAAACAGTCTTTGTATAAACTTGCAGAAATTTCAACTTCAGAATCATTCAAACACAATTTCAGAGCAAATTACATCTGATTCAATAGATGCACACTTATCAAAGCAATCATAAGTAATTTCAACTAAAAGATAAAAGATTAAGCGCATACACCTTCACCAGAAAATTGAGAGTAGTGCTTGAGTTGTCAAATATCGAAAAGCCTGGAGAGGGACTTTGCTTTCTTTGGTATTGAAGGAAAATACAGATTTTTTTAATGCACTACACATTCTTGTTTTTATTTATTTATTTATTTATTTTAGAGATCTAAGCTATTTTTGATTATCCCATGGTTACACTGCGATTAACTCATGTGCACTACTTTTTGAATGACCTCTGTCACAGGACACTGTAAAACAGAATGTACTTTTAAATGACTTACTTAACACGTGCCTTATCACCAAACAATACATCAGCATTTAACTAGTTTATCTTAAAAACCTCAGAAAGTTGAAAAAGGGGTCAAGTCAGTCAGTAGGGGAGGATCCTCCCAACATGTGGAGGAGTGGCTAGACTTGGAAGAAAATGGATAAAATGTGTTGGTTTGTTTTGATTCTTGATTAAAATCTCCTGAGACTGAATAAAGGTTAGTATTTTGGTCCAGTTGAAGGTATTTGTTTGACTTTAATTTTTGCAAATAAATGTTCAAGTCTAAATCTGAATTTTTCTCCTGGTTTGTGTCTCCCCCTTGCATTAAAAACATGTTTCTTTTTTTTTTTTGCCAAAATAAAAACATGTTTCTTACAGTTTAAAAAGCATTTTTATCTAATTGTATTCCTTAGTCACCTTGTTTGGGTTTAAGAGGATGCACTTATTTCTTTGTTGTTGCAACTATGTTAGGTAACACTGGGTATGGTATTTTATGAAACATACATATTTGCTTTGCTAAATTCAAACAGGAAATCTATGTACAACTCATTTAAGTTGTTAGACAACAGTAGAGTTTTCCTCATTAGGATCATACACATGACATGAATACAATCYCTAAACAACATGAACAAAAACAACAGAGCAGGTCTATGTTCCTGGRATTAATAAAATAAAAGTCAGATGTAAGTTATTTCCATATATTTTTTAAATAAAAATAAAATGACAAAAAAAGAATGTTTCATTTAATCGAACTAAATTGCATAAAGCTGAAAAACAATCCAAAAATTGTTACCCTGAGCCACTCCGAGAGCGCCAAACACTCCCACCCTGGCGTCCCTCAACGAGGACGGGTACGTCTTGTTGTAATAATCTACKGCATCGTTGGTCCAATCACTCAGCCACAAGTTCTGACCGATGAAAGCAATGTTCTGGACGAAGTAAATCACGAAGACCCAAACACTGTATCCCCAGCCCATGGCTCGCAGGTACTGGAGGTACACTGAGAATTTCACCTGGTTGTTAAAGAAAGAACATGTTTAAGAGACGAGTTTTGATTCTCCAGCAAAAACAAGCTTATATTTATACGGTGTTAGATCTACCTTTCCTGTTTCCATAGCTTCTTTTTCAATCAGCCTCTGACCTTTCTTTGTTTCCCCGTCACTTTCAGAAACCTTTAATGTGCTCTTGTTTCTTAATCGAACACTGGAAAAAGAACAGACAAGATTAGATTCAAAAGCAAGGATTAATGAATAAAATGTTTGTGTGTTAAATGCATAATGAAGCATTCGCCATTAAAAATGTTTTTTTATGTTCTTTTTTTGGTTTCCATCAGAGTGGGATCGAACCTGCCGCCTCTCTGGCTGCGGCGGATGCTGTTCTCTCTCCTTAATGTAAAGGAAACAGCATCTTCCGGAGGAAGGTCTGCTTGAGCGTCCTCTTCATCAATCATGAGTTCCAYGTCTTCTTTAACCTGGATACCAGCTGAAAGCATATTGAAAAAAACAAACAAAAAAAAAAAACAGAAATATTACCCACAGGACACAATTAAATCTCTTATAAACTCAAAAGCAGCAATGATTTTAGTTGAATCATGAAAACACAGCTATTTGTCCAATTATAAACATAATGGAGCAAGAAGGATGATTTTGTACCTTCCTCCGAAGTGCTCTGATGCCGTTCTTTAGCATATGTGTCCAAAAATTCTGAAAATGCCCCTCTGCTGGCACGAAGGCTTTTGTAAGATCCGACCTCAGAAACTTTTCCGTCTACCAAGACCACCACTTCATCCACTTTAGGCAGAAAACTTACTCCATGAGTCACCAGGATTCGAGTCTGTGCAGATAAAAAACACCCAGCTTTAGTTCACACAACACAAATCATTGTTTCTTTTCATCTGAGAGTTTTTGTTCAGTGAATTTAAAAACTCATTGCTTTTTCACAAAAAAAGGCTTTAAACGGGGGTCATTTTAAAAACAGAGCACAAGCTTGAACGAGATCATGTGCTYTTTGGAGTCCAGGTTTATGAGCCCTTCTAGCAAAGCAAAGTGATGTATTCATCAGTTTAAGCTGTTTTTCAGGCTTTTGTTAAGTATCATTATTTGTAAAAAACAAAGACCAAATTAAATGACAACGCAAATAAGCAGATCATCAAAAGTTTTCTATACACAGATATATTTCAAGAAGACAATGCCTGAATTCTTTAGACTCAAATTCTGAAAAAGTTGTTCAGAGCTAGAAACATCATTTTACTCATGAATTTGTCCACAAACTTAACCCCGTTTAGGTGGCRTTTTATAGCGCATTAATTTCTTGGAAAATGTAGATGTTACAATAAGGTCTAATCCATTAAAAGAAACAGGCAGCTGATGTTTTATTCAACATAAAAATGTACAAACCTTGTCTTTGAGAATTCCATTGGGGCCAATAACTTTATCAAATATGTGCTTTCCAACATGAGAGTCCACAGCAGACAGGGGGTCATCTAAGAGATAAATGTCAGCCWGGCTGTAAGCTGCTCTGGCCAAGCTCACACGTTGTTTCTGACCCCCTGAGAGGTTGATACCCTGAAAACAAACAGGAGAGCACACAAGAATATGAGGTTTATTAACTAACATAAAGCTGTTTTCATGTCACAATGAGCTTTCTCATCATATACAACATCTAAATATAGCTTTAAAAACTCCATGTTTTTATTCACATGAAACTCTAATGCTGCGTTCACACCGACCGCGATTTCAGCTTCAAAATTGCATCCAACGCTTCAAGTTGGACGCTTGTGCACTTTGAGGTCAGACGCAGGACAGCTCTTGAAGCGCTCGCACGGCAACAGCCTCCCCGCCCCTCCCTCCTCTGTCGGGCTCTGTTTAATGTCGGACGAGGAAGTGGCTTTGCTTTATTTACAGAGAGCAAGAGCATGTCACGTTCATCAGATAATTAATTCACCAGATAATTCAGAGACATTCTGAGTTTCATCACCCAGGAGCTGCGGTAGAGGCTCACAGCTCGCTTTCAGGACTATTTTTGTCCCGAGTCCAGTCTGATGAGTCGCTGCCACGCATTGGTGCGGATATCTCCTGTCAGGACACCGACTGCAGGCACTCGATTTCAGCTAAAGAGCTCCTCTCCATCTGTTTCAGGTTAGTGGACATCATTCAGTAAACTGTCCCGTCGGGAAATATGTCGCTACGTCACACAGTGGAGTCTCTCTGATTGGTTGACGCGGCGCGTCGAGCTGCAAAAGTTCAGATTTTCTAACTTCAGCGATTTGCGCCTCAGCTCGTCGAACGCTCAGATCGTTCAAATCGCGCTGCTCTAATCGCGCTTGAGGTGTCGCAGCACTTCCCGACGCTGCTTGAAGCGCGTCCACCATAGACTTTGTATGTAAACCTGCGGCTCCTGATGCTGAAATCGCGTTTGGTGTGAACGCACCATAAGCCTTTAATCAACTTACTTTTTCTCCGATCTCCGTGAGTTCACCTGCAGCCAGCAGCTTCAAGTCGGGGCCAAGAGCACAGGCCTCAATTACCTCCTGAAACCTCTTTTCTTCATACGGAGAACCAAACAAGATGTTATCCCTCAGAGTGGCGTTTTGGATCCATGCTTGTTGTGGGACAAATGCAAGGGAGCCCTGGTACAGGAAGTACAGAGTCAGTTATTTCCAATTCCGCTTCACTCATTTTAAAGATTTGTGTTCAGAACACATTTCAAGAGAAAAATAGTGAGGTGAAGGTCTCATATTGCACAAGCAGGGTTTATCATAGGTTTTTCTGGGAAAAACATAATTCTGGTTATTTCTCTAATATGAATACCTATTTTCTCAAATACGTAATTTGAGGACTTTGCACCACTTTTATAAATTGTAGCTTTTATTGTGATGAAGTGAGATCACAGTCGACAAGATTTCAATACAGGAGCTTTCAAAAATCTAATCAGAAAAACATGTTTTTATTTCTCTGCTGTCATGGAAAGTAAACATCGCCAAGACAAACAAAAGTCAATTTACTGTGTTCCTCAAAAAGATCATAAAAACAGTATTTAAAAGCCTTTGGTTTTGTTTTTTTATTAGTGTTAAAAAGATTTTCTGTCTCCCATATTTGTTGTTTTTGTCATGTTCTAAATCCTCACAAGGGATTAGGAAAAATAGTGCAAATTAATTTTATTTTACACATTGGTGTAGTTCCTCTACACAAATTTATTGACCGCTTTATTATTTTTTTAATTCTGTTTCCTTTTTTATGATCTCCCAGAGCATTTCAACATAAATAATTACTTGGCTTTTAGTTACTTAACAGGTATGACACATCACAAAGGCTTTTTTTAAACATTATTTCATGGCAAATATTAATAGTTACTCAAACTTTAAAAGAATACGTCCAATAAAGTTCACTCAGTCAATGAAAAATACATTAAACATGTCCTCTATTTGCTATACAGTGTTTTAATGGTTTTGCTGTTTTATATGAACACTCCCCCTCACCAGGACAAATTATTGAATAAAGATTGTTTGAATTAATGAAAAAAAAGTATGTGTAAATATTTCCTATAACCAAACAGAAAGACAAGAATGTATTTTAAATTCCTGGCTTGAAATGACTGTTGAATTCTTAATTTAGGTAAAACCACAATACAGTTACAACTTTCTATTAAAAGCACTTAAAACGTGAAACACTTCAGACACAGAGTTTGCTTTAGGCACATATTAAACAGAAACGGGTCATTACCTGAATGTTAATGAAGCCTTTCGTGCAGTGCATCTCTCCCAAGAGGGCTGACATGAGGGAGGACTTCCCTGAGCCCACAGCTCCCACTACGGCTACCAGCCGACCAGGCTTAACGTCCAGCGACACACTGACAAACACAAACAGAGATCATTTTCTCAAAACTGCATAATATGGTAGGATTAGAATACTAATATTGAGACTATTTGTTGCAATATGCAAAAAAAAAAAACAATTTTGTAAATACTTTTTCAGTAAAGGATCTGTATCTTTTTCCCATGCAAAGGAACCATCGCACACACTGACAGCCGTGTCTATATAAAAAACAAACAAACAGATGGACACATAAAGTGAAAACAGACAAAGCAGAAGGCTTGTAGGCAGGTTGTAGGTGACATGCATGCTAGTGTTACTGAAAATAACCATCACTGCTCAGGTGTAAGCACTGATGGTTGAACCTACTGAAACTGGGGTCGTGTTGCACAATGTCACTTTCAAGCTCATCTCCTCCCAGAAACTTCTCCAGTCTCTTTTTAGACACGGATGTCTGACGTGTGAAAGAACAGGTTCAGTGCTTTCATATCATAGGTCTGGTAAGTGCGCATAAAGCATTCACTGTTCTGTTTGTTTACCTGAACAATGGCAGCGATAAGCATGGGCAGCATGGCAAGAGGAAATCGGAGGATGTTGAAGAGCGAAATGGATGTGAAAGCTTTCTCTGCGGTTAAAATGTTGTCCGAGCTGACACCAACAAACACAGCAAACGTCGCCAGAGAAACCTGCCCACGAAAAGAACAAGAGAAAAACAAAAAGGCGATAAGCCCACAAAATAATTGGTTGTTGAGTCACTCCGAAGATTCTGTTCATATGACTTACCAAAGCAGGAGCGCAGGAAAAGATGAACGTTGACACAGATGTCAAGTATGCAAACTTCTTCATAACCTTCAGCTCTTCACCCCTAATACCTTCTACTTGAGCCTGGAAGGATGGCTCCCATGCAAAAAGTTTCAAAATCTAAAGGACGTAAAATGAAGATAGACACAGATGGGGGAAAGAACAGTGAAACAACAAAAAAAGCATTAATAACTTATGATGAACAACACAAAGAAAAGGTTCAATTAAGTCCAAGGATCATAAAAAAGGCCACTCACTTTGATTCCATTGAGCATTTCATTCATTATTTTCAGTCTCTTGTCTTTGAACTTCATGTTCTCCACCTGTAAGCATGTAGGGACAGTTAGGACACAGAACCTTCAGGATCCAAGGCTCTGGTAAGCGGCCACAACTTGAATGGTTACATAAGAGAGTAATGATGTATACTTTATTGTTTTTTTTCTCCAACTTTAACTATTTTCTATTAATTATTGTGAGTTACAATAAGCGTTTTGGCTTTTCAGTTCTATTGCTGTTAGCTCAATTTATATCCAAATCTTATATCTAAAGCAAAATTATGTTTTTCTACCTGTAGATTTAAAAAAAACTGCATCTTATTTTTAATATACAGGCCTAATGTAAACATGTTTGGTGCAACATCACTTACAAATGTTTATTCATTTTGCTTACCTGTAATTTTCTAGCCTTGTTGGCTAGCAGTCCATTGATTGGCACCATCAGCACCATTACTGCCAGCCCTGCCAACACAGAAGGCCCCAGCTCCAGCCAGAGGAAAACAATGGATATGRCAATCTGTAGAGGGCAGGACCACAGCAGGTGGATAAAGTTGGTCACATCGTTGAAGCGCTGGGCRTCTGCTGACATCAGGTTCACCGTTTCCCCGACTGTTGACTCTTTACGATTGTCGTTCGACATCACCAATGCCTGGAAAAAAATAGAGCGAGGTGGAAACAGACGAGAAGAAGGACAGTGGGTGGGGAGTTGAGTTTAATAATGTGAATGAGCAAATGAGCAAAAATGTTCTCTGGGTACAAATGAATGAATTCACTAGTCATTAATAAAGGGGAATTTGTAATAAGATTTTGCGAAGCATTTGGAAAATGCAATCTCAGCTGTGTATAAATATTTTTCATTTATAAAGTACTGAATACCTCATGAAAACGCCAATGTAACCTTGTAAAACAAGTTGATTACCTGACCATTTATTTAGTGAAAATGTGGTCACAACATGGTTTGTCTCCTTTTGGCTGCGATGTCTTCTAATATTTAGCACACTCACAAAGGACAAGTCAGTTTTWTTTCATATCATACGACAATCTAATGCACGTTYTTTGTAAATCTCTATTTTATTAAACTGCCAAGAAACAAAATTACTTTCAGCCTCTACATGCTTTTGTGTACATTTAATGCGATATTTGTTCCATACTTTACAAATACAGTTAAGTTAGCCAAACTTAAATTGAAATAAATGTTTAAATAAATTACAGACTGAGGTTTTAGTTGAACTGCAGAAAACTTTGAGACATTTGTGGAAATTAGGTCCACATAATGAGTGTTGTGCTGTCGTTACCTTTTTGTACACAGCAGCCATGAGGGCGGTGCGRACCTTCATCCCCAGAACGAAGCACTTCTGGAAATATTGCTGTAGGAACAGGGACTGCAGCAGGGCCACCAGCAGCAGCAGCACTGAATACATATACCCTTCCCAGGCRTATCTGGATTTGTCCTGAGTGAAAGAGATCATCCATCTAGAAAAAGAGTAGGAAAAAAAGCTATTGTAATAGATCATCTCGTAAAAAAATAAGATATTGTTGCCTCTAGTGTTCTGTCAGAACTCTCTCATTTCTAGTAATTTATTTTAAGTTATGAGTAGTCTGTTTTCTATATGCTTTCCTACTTTTGTTGAAAAGGCTCTTTGTTTGCATTATTCTTCCAAAGCCTTGGTGTCATCAGGCAATGTTTAAACTAATGAGTAATAGTTTAGTCTATCATTAGGCCGTTGCAAGGTCAGACTATTTCAGGTTAGTTTTGAAGCTTTGAAGTAGAATTTCTTTGATCCTAAAAATCAGAGTTTTACAAATTTAGGATAAAAAAAATTCATGTTAGATATTTCCGTGACGTTGTATAATAAACTTAATTTAGTTACGAGTTTAAAAGAGAGAGAGAGAAAAAATTAAAGTGTGTCCAACTTTTAGCTTAAGATTATCTCTTGTTGAGAAATGATGGAGTTAAAGCCATTTTGGTGAAACCTTGAAAATAACACGAACAATGTTGTGCAATATATTGACATGGCGTGCTCATTATACACATTATTGATTGACAGCTACTACTACATCAAGTTTAAGCTCAGTATAAGTAAAAGTGACTGTGTTTGAGACATTTTTATTATTAATTCTTTCTTAAAATTTCATTAAAATCCACTGTTTCGTAAAATATTTTGCTAACAAACAAACAGGATTGAGTCCAACAGTTCTAGCTATAGTTTGAAGGTCAGATCTTGCGCAATGTGTGGAAGAAGGCAAATAACCAAAAATACAGCGAATTGTGTTTTTCTTGATTATTTAGAAACTCAAAACGTACTTGAGGATCTGAGGACTGACAAAAGCCAAAAGATCCTGCAGAAGTTTCAGACAGGCAGACTGAAACAAAATCCATTTGAAAGTTTTGTAAATGGTCATAGTCAGCCATGAGTTTGGATAGCTCTCTTCCTCCTTTTTTTCCTTTTTCTTCTTCTTCTTTTTGTCTTCTTTTGTTCCTTTATCCTCCTAAAGTAAAATAGACACAATCGTTAGGAACACATATGTGAGACACTTAAAAATAAAGAGAAAGTATTTGAAGGTTCTCACCATGACCAGAACATCCTGACTCACACCTTTCCTCAGACTGTCAGAGAAGCCATTTTGAGAAGCCTCTCCTTTCATTACATTTTTAACCAATTTCTTCTTCAACTTCTTCTGGAATCGGACCCGAGCTTTTCCCAGCTCAGATTTCATGTGATCCTCGAAGTACTGGGTTATGTAAGCGGTGCTGTCCTTATCGCTGATTTCCCACAAGTCCTCCTGAACCAGGGGATGTTTGTAGCCTTTCCACACCATGCTGAAAACAAAACAAAAAACAACAACAATGTTTTACATAGCACATGGGAGTTTCTTCTTTAGTTTTATTTTTCAGTGTTGAGTTTACCTGTTAAACCAATTGAAAGTGATTCTGCTCAAAAATGTGGCACCAGCCTCTGGATTCTACAGACAGAAGACAAACGTCACACAAACTCATTGGCATTGAGGATTTTAAATGTTGTGTTTCATAATAATTTTCGGAGTTTCACAACTGAATAAAAACCTTTTTCACACGCTCTTTATCCTCCGGAGAGATATCAGCCACAGAAGAGAGAATGAGAGCAATTACTTCCAGCGTAAAGGAGATGTAGAAAAGGGAGAAACGAGGAACATCCTTGACTTCTCCCTGAGCATACAAAAGATATTTAAAGATGAGTGTGATGCAGCAGTAAATGGAATCACCGGTAATTATTCTGAGCTTGACATTTATAGTTTAATATGTCTCCTTTATTTCTTGAAGACGTTTGCTGAGTTTTTTCTTTAGATCTGACAACTCGTTCGCACATTTTGCTCATACCTGACTAAGCGCCTGTCGGATGAGCGTCTGGAAAGGAAAAATGTCGCACAGAACAAGAAGAAGCCAGAAGAGAAAAAGGCTGGTGGAGTCTACTGCTCTTTCTCGTCGCCTCACTGCTTCCTGGCACAGCAGCAGAAGGATCTGACAACAAAATATAAACCAAAAAAAACGTCAAACAATATAAGTAAATGTTGCATTTTACGCACCCCACTGAATATTTACAAAAATAAAATGTACCCATGTAAAAGCAAAAAGGACTGGATTTGTGTAGTATACAGCAACGTTTGTCACAGATTTGTCGCTGCTTGGACCAAAATCTTCTCCTAACGTGACGGCCAAGCCTCCAACGGCCGTCAGGAACAACAGGGACACCACAAGCTGAGGAGAAAAAAGACGGACAAGACTGTCAGGTGAGGTAAACCTTCAGTTTTGATGCTCAATTTAAACATTTAAACGTGTGTCTGTGTGTTTTAGGCCTGCCGTATTTATTACCTGTTTGCAGAGATAGAGCCCGGACATGCGTTTTACTCGTGGTGTTTTGCACAGAAACATAAGGTGCCGGGGGGCACAGAGCCACAGGAACCCCAGGGGGATCCAGATCAGAACTGTCTGCTCCAGACATACTGGGAGGTCAGGGTCCTCTCTTTCCAGATATGAAACGTTCTGCAGAACATATGCACACTTACTGTATGACAGATCAAACCACATTTTAATGACTGACCCGCCAAGGGTGGGCCGAAAAGGGGGTGGGCCACCCCTAAAAAAATGATGTCTTCGTGATGATGATCCTTTGCTCTGTGCAGGGTCAGTAGCAGCATGACCCATGGCACCTGTTCTCCTATGTTTGTTATGTTCTGTCTTCTTCTGAATGGGTGTTCTGAAATGTAATTTCACTGTGCTCTTTACAATGAAAGTAAAGGTCTAATCTATCTATCTATCTATCTATCTATCTATCTATCTATCTATCTATCTATCTATCTATCTATCTATCTATCTATCTATCTATCTATCTGACAAAATGGAGGGAAAATATTTAGAATTAAGAAAAACACAATATGTAGAAAATGGTTTTTGTTTTGTACTTTTTGACTTTAAATTTGAGTGATTAAAAAGTAGTTGAAGATAGACTGATTATTTTCATTGTACACAGCTGAACCTTATAGATTGTGAGGTTTTGTGCTTTCATTTGTGAAACATGCTGTTAAAGTCTTTAGAACTGAAACTGAACTAAAAAAAAAAAACTTCTGGTGTTAATAGATTCACAGGAATATACAGTGAAAGGAGAAGAGCTAAAACATGTTGAGAGCCTTAGAGCGGAGAGAAAATTGATTACATTTTAAAACTAAGTTTTAAAGTATCTAATGCTTTGAACTATTTAAATATGTCCCAACTTTAATTAAAACTTTAAATAGAATCATCAGACCAAACATCAGCAATAGGTATGGGTTTGAAGAATTGTAGCATTTATTTGTTAGTGCAATTTTTTTGTGTTGACTTTCCTTGAACCGGTTTAAACTGCGTTAAATCTACCTATCTAATAAAAACAAATTTTCTGCATCTCTCGTTTTAAACGTACGTTCAGATGTGTGTACATCAAAAGTAATGGTGTATTTGAGAGAGCAGAGTAAAGCCTTTAGTTGTCTGTTAAACTCACCCAAAAGACTGACCCGCAGTACTCCTCCAGAGCCGCAGCACACATGATCCACTGTGATGTCTTCAGTCGTACTTTGCTGACTGGACAACCACTTGCCTTGTGTCCTCTTCTTTACTGCAGCCTAGAGTGACTCAAGCACGGCTAAATTCACCTCTGTCCACCCACAGAGCTGATACAATTGCAGGATGTAGCTCTGAGGGACTTTGATCCATGAGTCTTTGAAGCAGAAAAAAAAATACAACTTTGTACCCTCTTGATGTAAAGAGAATGTATTAAAGTGCCCAAAAAGGAAAAAAAAAAAAAAAGAAAAAGAAAAGTAATGGCACGTCTTATTGCCTTGATTTCTTTCTTTTAATGCAATAGATGTAAAAGTTAATCTTGGAATCAATGATGTTGTTGGTGAAGAACCCTAGCAAGTCCTCCCTAAAAAATTAGGAAAACTCAAAGAAGTTTGTTAATGTAAAGAGCAAATCCAACTCTGGAGCAAATCCATGTTCCACAGTGCCTGTTGATGAGCGGTAGGGAGTTAAAAGGAGACAGAATGAGTTGCGTAAGAGTTACAGTGCAGTTTTCCCTGTGTTCAGGGAACRGATCTCCAAAAAAAAAGGGAACGTGTTTACAGAACGGAAACGGAGGGAGGGGCCACGTTAGTTCCATTTTCCTGTTGTGTTTCCACTTATTTGCCTGCCTCTAGAAGAAACTTGGTTCAACTAAATCAAAATTCAACCAAATTAACAAAAAGCATCATTTGAACCATAGTAACCCTGCACAAGTGTTGAAAATTGGATGTTTTCATAAATAATTGGCAGGACATAGAAATTTAATAGAGGATAAGACGTGTGGCAACTGCAGGAACCTTTTGCCTCCTTCTGTGTTTGATTCACAGGCGAGAAGGGGGATGGGGGGGTTGGACTTCAAACCTACAGCGCGTGACGTTTGACAACAGTAAAACAGAAGATAAGTGAGAATGAGATTGATAACAGACCAACTTCTCTCCTCTGGACTCTCCAGAAATTTAGACAAACGGTAACATCCAGGAGTCATGGGGCAGCTTCACTTCTTGATTTAACTCTTCTGTGCTTCTTTTGACCACTTCATGTGCTGTTTTTTTGTTCCATGAGTTCCTCAATTGTAAATCAATTATGCTTAAAGGACAGATTTTTGTTATGATAGATGGCTTGAAAGCAGAATTGATACTCTTGTTTAAGTAAAAAAAATGTCCATCTGAGTGGGGGAAAACAAATATTTAATATAAATTTAATTAACACTGGTTTGCTGACTTTATCATCATGATGCTAAAAAAGCCCTTATATGTTCAAAGTTCTTTTTTCCAATGATATAAAATTMCATATCAGTCTTAGACCAAGTAGATGATAAATTGCTCGGTAAACAAGATAATTTTCAAGACATTTGATGTGATTAAACATGATTGAATTACCAAAGAACAAAATCAGTTCTGGGTATTTACCAGGAAGATACTGTATGTTTGCAAAGTCTAGATACAAGCACAACCCTCATTGGAACTGAATGGGGCGGGGTGGGGGGGGGGGGTCGCTATCTCAAGCAGATTATGTCTGCTGTGTCAAAGGTAGTTATTAAACGTTTAGTAACACAAGGACACAAACCTGCTGACTCATTGTGTGTAAAGCTTTACAGACTGCAACACGAAGGGAAACTCCTTCATGATTACAAAATGCTTGATTTACAACTGCACTGCCATAAAGAGTAGCAGGGAGAATGCTGTAGAATAAGTAGCCATTAAGCTTAGGGTTTACAATGTTTTATCAGCGAAAGAAAAAAAAAAAGAACTTTGATACTCAGTTGGGACAGACTGTATTGACAGAGAACTGAACAATTACAGTAAAAGATCAACTGTGGTTTATCAGGCAAAATGTCAAAAATTTGCTGACTAACTGATGCCAGAGTTCAACTGCATTCAGAAATGTACAAAAGTGTACAACTTAAAACTGGTTAAATCAACCCAATGAGTTATCAATAAAGTAACAATAAGGGAGTATTTGTGACCCATCACGTCAAACTGAGGAGAAGTCAAAATGACCGAAGCCCATTTACAGATTCCTGGCTTTTAAGATCTATTTTGATACTTTGATCATCCTGATATCAAGACGGGTTCCAGAGATATTGATTTGTCTTCCTAATCGGGATGTATGTGGTCTGAATCCTATTTTTAGGTTATTCTAAAGAGAATTTTTTCCCCCCATCATTATAAAGGGGAAACCTAAAATAGTATTTGGATATTGAGATTTCCYAGCTGGAAAGAAAAACTTTGCTAGCTCACTTGGATAATAACAAAATTTAAGGCTTTTCCACTAAAAGTTGTGTATTTGTAGCTAATGTAAAAAAAAAAACAAGATTGTATTTCAGATATTTCATTTAAATGCACAGATCAGGTATGTAATCATTATATTTTGACAAAATGCAATTGTTGCAAATTRCTGATTGGATGGGTCACATTTTGTATCTTTGAAATCATCAAATTGGTTTTATGTTTGAGTTATTAAAGGCTTTATCAGTCATCTGTAGGGTTGTAAATGGTTTTTTTTCTTACAACATTTGTTCTCAAACTACTTTTGTTTGAGAATTTAAGTGGAAAAGTTTAACTGCACAGTGAAGCTGGAGGAAAAACAGTCAGTTTGGTCAGTGTGTGACACCATGACAATGCACTGTGAGGTCCATGTTGCACTGTTGTAAAAAAAAAAAATCAGGGCATGACTAAGCTTTATGGTGTGAGTTGAAAACCTTAGTTCTAAATTAAAAGGAAAGAAAAATGATTTTTTTAATCATGCAAAATAGCTGGTAAACTTTCTATTTTAGCTCTAAAACTTAGATCAATATAAATATTTAACACGTGACATCATTGTAGGCGTTTGCCAAGCCAGTGAAATATTCAGTTTGTAACGATCAGTTTGTCTAATGAYACCACAGGTTCATTAATGATCACTTACTGTCAGAAAGCTACAGGTGAGATGAGTTTTATTCAATAGAATCAATTTCTAGAGAATCAACTCAAAATGTATAAATATTAACATTAACATACCATCATCAGTACCCTGCCTTTTAGCAGCAGATCCACTTTTACAAGCTTATTAAAGTCAAATGTTATATGTGTGGGATTCTTTGTAACTGAGGCTTTTATTCTGTCAAATTCTTTTTTATTTGAAAAATGACTAAAAAAACATATGAGTCACACTTAAATCCCATTCTAACTAGACTTTTGTTATTCTGGTTATTAGTCAGTTCTGTCACAGCTACAGGGTCACATTTAAACACAAACATGGCAAAAAGAGCATGTCTCTTTTGTACTCAGCATCCGTTCACTTGCTCTGGGTTCACTTTAGAGTGGGTTTTAAGATTTTATTACTGACCTATGGAGTGCTTACATGGGCAGGCTTCTTTGTATCTCTCCAACGTCAGCCTTCTGAGCCTTTCAGCTCATTCAGACGATGGTTTGCTTTTAGCTCTCCTGAGGTCCAGCCTGGTGTAGAAATGAGAACAGGTCCTTGCAGTTTGCTGATCTCTGCGTGACGAGTGCGCTTTGTGATTTACTGCATAAATCAGCCACAATAAAAGTAAGCTTGTGCTGAGGTTTATTGTAAAGTAACGATTTAAGTTGTAGTCACACAAACTTAAATTACGGGTTCAAAATTTTTATATGTAATACCAAAATTAATATTTCCATACAGTAGAAAACCTGAGGTCCAATACAGGATAAAAGACATAAAAAACATATCAACAAAGGAAAAATCAATCAAACTGAATTGTGAAAAAAAAATTTCTTTGTTTCATTATATCTTTTGAAATATTTTCTATTATTGAGTGTTTATGTTCGATTGAATTTTGTTTTATAGTTCAGATTTCTAAGTGTACTGTTGTGTTTTCTTTGTTGTTGTGTGGCCATTTTTATTGTTGTGCTTTGCTTCTCAAAAGCATGTGTATGCACCTATGAATCATTTCCTYGCTGCTCAGTCGTAGATAACATTCATGAAACTACAGCGCTCATCACTCATGAGGAAAAAATTGTACAGGTCCTCTGGACGGGTTCTTCTTTAATGAAACGTTTCGTCTCTCTTCCAAGAGACTTCTTCAGTCTGAGAGTTTCAGGCAAAATTCAGGCATGAATTTTGCCTGAAACTCTCAGACTGAAGAAGTCTCTTGGAGAAGAGACGAAACGTTTCATTAAAGAAGAACCCGTCCAGAGGACCTATACAATTTTTTTCCTTTTGATTTTTTACCTGGATTACTGAGATGCATCAGGACATCACTCATGAGCAACAACACCAAGAGCGCCACTTAAATTGTAATTCTTCGTTAATAAATCTAAAATAAAATTTTGAGGCACGTTTAATGTACGTATGAAAATAAATGGCAACACGTTGGCATGATCGTTGTTGATTACATTTGAGGTATCACAAGGTGTTTTTGGCTATCGCGTTTAGACTCCGAACTTTGCTCACGTCTGCCACCTTCAGGCCGTACTCAGGTGCCGACAACGTGGCTCCCATTGTCACGCAGGTGTTCCTGTACGTGGAAAAAAAATTAAATAAAATGTTTAAGTCAAATATATTTCTATAGTTTTTTAACATTTGTTTCGCAGCAAACCTGAATTTCATTGCCGAGTCTCTGCTGGAGCGAGCCGAGCAGTGAAACTCCTGAGCCCCCGACCCTTCTAGTATTCTCTGCAGGTTCCTCTCTGTGATGCCCCCTCCTGTTTTTAAAAATATAAATATCTTAAAAACTAAAAACACTCACATAAAAGTACACAATGGTGGAAACAGAACTAACCTGGCATAACAATTATTCTGTCTTTGGCCTGTTGGGAGGAAACTACAATGTTARAAAGAAAATTTTATCTGAATACCATAGAAAGACATGTTTTATATGCAACCTTTTTTTCTYGTGAAAACGTAGAATTTGAAAGTGGACTATTATACATACTTGATCAATGAGACGTTTAATGACATGCAGCCCCTCCAAAGCTGAGCTGTCGCAGCCACTTGTCAACACGCGTTCGAACCCTAACGATATTAGAGTCTCCAGAGCAACTGCTGGGTCGTGAACCATGTCAAAAGCTGCAGACAGATCAGAACATCAATTGACAAAACGACTTCAGACTCACAGTGAAATCTTTATAGACTTTGTTTTTTAAAGAAGCGCTGATAAAAGCAATCTAATATGCTGATTCTGCTGGGGATCCATGATTTTTTTTGAACGTATTAGCAGCGTATTGGAAAGCATACTTGTGAGATGAATGAAAAAAAAAATTACCACGGTGGAAGGTCACAGGCAGAGGACGAGCAGCAGCTGAGGAATAAAAAAGAAGAAAAAAAAGACATATAACAAACAAATTGAAATTCTGATTCAGTTAACTTTTTTCAAACCATTAGAATTGAAATGTGTTTTTTTTTGTTATTTCAAATTCTTTTAGTTCATCTTTTACATCACATACTGATGACTTGATTTGTTTAWAGTACGAATTGTTAATTATTAACACAAAATCTAAAAGCAGTCACATGCAAAAGTGAAGATAATGATTCAAAAAACCTGAAATCATAAAAAGTTTATGAAGTACTTCACGAATTAGGCGCTATAACACAGTATGGATTTTAACTATGAATTAGGTCAGGGGCACAAACAGCATCATGAGACTAAACAGTTAACAGAAAAAAAAAAACATTATGCTATGTGACTGGCAAAATAAYGCTTATTTTATAGCTAAAACTAAATGCAACTTTATTTTTATACTATTTAGACACATTAGAAATGTGGTGTCACTAAAAAAATCCTCGTATCAATTTTTAAAGAGGTTAAATTGCTACTTTCATCAGCTGTTCTTAGATCTCAATTGTTTTGAGGCATGTCTTCTAATAGTGGACCTCAACCTGAGCACAATTCAGATATCATTCAGGTTTCATTGGTTTGCTCACTGCAGATGTTTTACCATGTTTCTCCAAGCAGTGTCATCATCAGTAATATTTCAACATGTTAGACAGATCTGTATTTTTTTTTTTACCTTTTTGTCTATGACATTAGTCCACACAGTGTTTAATTCATTGTCTCACAGCAAGAAGTTCACTGTAGGAGTTTACACTCATAGTGTAAAATGTGTCTTTTTATCGTTCCTAAAGTGGTAATCAAAAATAAAACTAAGTTATCCTGATTAGTGTATACTGCTTGTAAATAAACATTTTAATGTCTTTTTTAAACAGGTGGTTTTCAGGATTCAAACTGCAGTTTTCTTATATTCACTTGATCTTCTGACATGTTTCACGCTTGATTTTGTGAAACTGCACGTTACGAGGATAATCTGAGCCATCATGTTTCACAGTTCAGATTACATATGCAGATGAACAATACCCAGTAGCTCCATGCAGAGTTCTGCGTCCACCAGACCATCCTCTGTCAGGGCACCCAGAACTAGACCATCAGCTCCTTGGCTCTTCATCAGCTCTATGTCCTTCCTCATCACCTCCACCTCCTGACCTGAATAAAGGAAGTCTCCCCCTCGAGGCCGTACCATCACATAGGCTGGGATTTTGATGTACTGCTTTACTACGTGCAGAAGGCCTGCAGTAAAAGATATGTGGGTGGGTTATATGCACCTATCTGGGGCAAAGAGCTTCCACAGTCACAGTCTGTTCAGAGGTGAAATGTGTTGATCACCTAAACTGGGGGTGAGCCCTCCCTCCAAGAGGCTTGAACACAACTCAAGCCGACTTGCACCTGTCAGGACAAAAAATAAATAAATAAAAAAAATCTCAGAAAACACTAATGCTCACAAACTAAAATCTAAAGCTCTGCACTGCTCAACTTTTTTTCTTACCATAAGGGCTGCTATGAACATTACCTCTTTCAGCAAGTCATTAAAAAAGAAAAAAGCAGAGCAGCTTGTACTACACTTTTACTAACCTCCTCTCTCAGCATTCACAGCAGACTCCACGGAGTCCACACACACCTCCATTAAAAAGCTCTGTGCCATTCTGAACGTCTGAGCAAAGAAATACAAAGATTTCCAAAGTCAGTCTGTTAGCTAACATCTATACAAGTTTCCCCATTTACAATTTTATAACTTCTACCGGCTCAACTACCTGCCAGTTCGCTTTCTCTTTGGAAACGTTTTGAAGTAAGTCACATCATGCTTTGAGTGAACACCAGCCACTCGTTTCCGGAGGGGTTGTTCATTGTTAAAAATGTCCTCCGGCTGGGGGGGCGGGGAATTCTGTTTACGTAAAAAGTAAAATGCGACCGCCCACGCGGGATGTATTAATACACTAAACGGGCATCCATATTCCTGATAGCTACGGTACAATTTACAAAACAATAAATATAATATATTCATTGTATAATTGAAAATTTTGTTGAGAATACATATATGTATATATTTTTTTAGCTGAAAATGATAAAAACAACTCTTCAGCTATTGTTTTTATGTGACATCAAAGGTTAAAGTTGAACCTTCTACATCCGGGTAACAACAAAAAAGCTTTCTGCCATTTCCGGGAGGATCTGCAGTTTGACATGAGCTCCTTCAGTGGAATTTATTAAGAAAGAAAATATGTTACTTACATCGTTACGGACAACCATTTTTTGCGGCTGCAGATGTGTTAGCAAGGGGTTTCAACAGAACTGCGTGAGTAGCGATAAATTTAGCTACTAGCTAACAGACTAACCATGTACGAAGCCACAACAAATATTAGCATGATATAAAAATAACATTATCCAATTTCTTTCGATTTTTAGCGTGCAGACTTTATTTAGGTTAGTATAGATAAGTTAGTTATGTGACTGTCAAAATGATAGTTTATCTCCGTTTATGTAATAACTAAAATGACATAACTGACCTCCAGCCTCTCTGTTGTTTATTATCATTTCTATCAAGTAAGTAGCATTATTGAATCAACTGTGCTTGTGGTTTAAATGTGTTTTATATTGGTATAATCAGTTTTCAAACCTGATAAGGTGCAAAATTTCCTGCAGTTTTCTCCAGAGCTGTTTTYCCCCCCTTGTAACCAAAAGCCTTCTGGTGTGGGTTCATATGTTAAATGGCCAAACCATGTTGGACGTGTTTGGAATTTATCTAAATGCTTTAGGTTTCCGTTTACATCGTTATACAATGATACAAAAGACTGGGTGTGGGAKGATGCTATATGTACAGACTTTCGTTTTTGAGATTTAGGATCTTATTCATTTTTGCCCCACAAGTACAGATATAATCACTTATAAGGGGTTTATAGCCTTTGTATTGCCTTATTTTTGTTGCTGCTCATGCAGAATTAACACACACACACACACACACACACACACACACACACACACACACACACACACACACACACACACA